ATGACTTTTGAAAACATGGGGTTGACAAGATGATTGATGGGTCAGCCTATGGGGGTGATATCTGGGACCAGACACTAAAGATTCTTCGGCCTGGCCTAAATTTAGGACATCCCTAAAAGCCCTTACTCCACTTGGACAGTAACCTCTTTCACCTGGTCATTTTAAGCCACCCAAGTCTTTTAATCTAGATTTTAGGTACTGTTAAGATGAGTCCCCCTAAGGTAAGGACCAAGATTTCCCAAAGGCTTGTGCTTTTATAACTGCAGAACCACAGAGAGGTGGGAGGTCATATTCTTCAGTGACTGTGGCTTGGAAATGGGGATCCATCAAATAGATAACATCCCACAAATCTTAGTGTACCTTTAAGTTTTAATCACTTTATTCTTTTTTCCTTTTCAAAAAATTAATTAATTTTTAGTTTTTAACATTCACTTCCACAAGATTTTGAATTCCAAATTTTCTCCCCATCTTTCTCCTCCTCCACCCCGAGATGGCGTGCATTCTGATTACCCCTTCCCCCAATCTACCTTCCCCCCGCCCACTTCTCTTATCCCCTTTCTCTTCTGTTTTCCTGTAGGACAGTATAGATTTCTATAACCCACTGCCTGTATATCTTATTTCCCAGTAGCAAGTAAAAACAATTTTTAACATTCATTTTTAAAACTTTGAGTTCCAACTTCTATCCCTTCCTCCCCACCCACCCTCATTGAAAAGGCAAGTAGTTCAATATAGGTTATACATATGTAGTCATGCAAAACACTTTCATAAAGGTCATATTGTGAAAGACTGACTATATTTCCCTCCATCCTATACTGCCCCCCATTTATTCTATTCTCTCTTTTGACCCTGTCCCTTCTCAGAAGTGTTAGAAGGGTAAGATAGATTTCCATGCCCAGGGGAGTGTGTATGTTATTCCCTTCTTAAGCAAAATCTGATGAGAATAAGATTCATTCATTCCCTCTCACCTCCCCCTTCTTCTCCTCCACTATACAAGCTTTTTCTTGATCCTTTTATGTGAGATAATTTACCCCATTCTACCTCTCCCTTTCTCCTTCTCTCAGTACAATCCTCTCTCACCCTTATTTTAATTTTTTAGATATCATCCCTTCATATTCAATTTACCCTGTTCTCTGTGTGTGTGTGTGTGTGTGTATTTTATGAGTTACAAATATCATGTTTCTATATAGTAATATAAACAGTTCAATTTAATAAGTCCCTTATGATTTCTCTTTCCTGTTTACCTTTTCATGCTTCTCTTGAGTCTTGTGTTTGAAAGTCAGATTTTCTATTCAGCTCTGATCTTTTCATCTAGAATGCTTGAAAGTCTTTTATTTCATTGAATTTCCATTTTTTTCCCTTGAAGGATTATATTCAGTTTTGCTGGGCAGGTGATTCTTTTATTTAATTTTTTAATTTTATTAATTTATTTTGGTTTATCAACAATCACATCCATATGCTTTTGAGTTTAAAATTTTTCTCCCTCTTTCTCCCCACCACCCTCCCCAAGACGGTACACAATCTGATATAGGTTAAACATTTACATTCCTATTAAACATATTTTCACATTAGTGATGTTGTAAGTAAAAATTAAGACCAATAGGAGGAACCATCAGAATGAGGAAACAAAATTCAACAGAAGAGAAAAAAAAAGATAGCAATTCAACTTCCATAGTTCTTTCTTTGGATGTGGACAGCATTTTCCATCACAAGGCCTCTGGAGATGTCTTAGATCCTTGTATTGCTGAGAAAGGTTAAGTTTATCAGTATTAGTCATCACACAACGTGGCTGTTATTGTGTACAACGTTCTCTTGGTTCTGCTTACTTCACTGAGCACCAGATCATACAAGTTTTTCCAGGTTTTTATGCAGTTAGTCTGTTCATCATTTCTTATAGCACAATAGTATTCCATTGCATTCATATACCACAGCTTGCTCAGCCATTCCCCAATTGATGGGCATCCTCTCAATTTCCAATTCTTTGCCACCACAAAAAGGGCTGCTATGAATATTTTTGTATATCTGGGTGCTTTTTGCATTTGTATGATCTCTTTGGAATATAGCCCTAGAAGCGCTATTGCTGGGTCAAAGGGTATGCACATTTTTATAGCCCTTTCAGCATAGTTCCAAATTGTTCTCCAGAATGGTTGGATCATTTCACAACTCCACCAACAATGCATTAGTGTTCCAATTTTCCCACATCTTCTCCAACATTTATAATTTTCCTGTTTTGTCACGTTGGCCAATCTGATAGGTGTGATGTGGTACCTCAGAGTTGTTCTGATTTGCATTTCTCTAATCAATAATGATTTAGAGCATTTTTTCATATCACTATAGATGGCTTTAATTTCTTCATTTGAGAACTGTCTGTTCATATCCTCTGACCGTTTATCATTTGGGGAATGGCTTCTTATAAATTTGTCTTGATTCTCTATATATTTTAGAAATAAGGCCCTTATCAGAGAGACTGGTTGTAAAAATTCTTTCCCAATTTTCTACCTTCCTTCTCATCTTCGTTGCATTGGCTTTGTTTGTGCAAAAACTTTTCAATTTAATGTAATCAAAATTACCCATCTTGCTTTTCATAATGTTCTCTGTCTCTTGTTTGGTCATGAATTCTTCTGTTTTCCATAGATCTGATAGGTAAACTATTTCTTGCTTTCCAAGTTTGCTTATAGTGTCAGCCTTTACATCTAAATCATGCAATACAAGGATCTAACATATCTTCTTGCATCACTCTCATTTCTTTTCCCAATTTTTCCTCTACTTATCTTATTTGCTTTTCAAAATCCTTTTTGTACTCTTCCATGGCCTGAGACCAATTCATTTATCTTAACCCAAATTTCTTTACCATGTTTTATCTCTCAGTTTCCTAGGTTAACTTACATAAATGTAAATTCTTAAAATACAAAGCTTTTCCATTTTTTCTGTTCCATTCCCTTGCAATAGAGCACTCCCTACTGTCAGGAATTCCATCCTACCAACTCTCAATGTTGAGGTCAAATTTGTCTCCCCTTGCGTTAGAATTTCTAGTTCACTCTAATCACTACCCACACTTGATGCATTAATGCACCAATTTGCACTAATGTGCATTAGGTGCATTAATTAAAGATGTCTAAAATCTGAGACCATGAGTTTTATCGGTGTGTCTTTTCTTGGATACTGGCCTCCATGAATTGCTGGTCCTGTCTTCTGTGTTTATTTCTCCTGTTTTGTATTTGGTACTTCTGTGGTCGTTGACTTGTCAAACTGACTAATCTTTTAATCTCTCTTGGATTCCTTTTCCTCATCTGCAAAACTACCGTTTTGTAAAATGAGAGATTCAAGACATGAAGTGAAGAGGATCCTTCCCCCTATTTCATTCTGCTGCTGATTCCCAGGCTGCTCCTTCTACTTCTCTGAATGTTAGCTTCTCTGGTCACAATTGGGAGATGAGACTTAATTTCTATGAGAGACAGAAAAGGTATAGGGCCACAAGACACAAGGACAAAAGATAAAATCCAATTACTTGAGATCTGTACACCTTGTTTTGACTTGGTGCCATTCCCCAGAATCTCCTTTCTAGTACCTTACACACGGAATTCTCAGGTCACACTTGGAAAGGGAACATTAATTTATCTACCACAGAGAAGCAGATAGTACATAATCACATAAGATGAAATGTTAGGTCTACATACTTTTGTTTTAACTCGTAACTGTTCCACAGAATCTGCCCTATGCTTCCTGGGATCATAGGCTCTCTACATCCTTGTGTTTTAGTTAGTCAGCCAGCCACTATTTATGAAGCACCCAGAATGTGCCAAGAATCTTGCTGTGGGGATACAAGTACAAAGAGTGAAATAGTCCTTACTGGCAAGGAGCTTACTTACATCCTTCTAATGGAGAGAAGCTGGGGCAGTGGTGGGGGTGAGGGGAGGGTGGGGAAGAAGGAGAGACTGTAAATGTGTATGTCTGTATACCCAAAGAATAAAATGAATAAATATAAATATGTACACAGTAATTAAATAGAAGGCAGTGTGGGAGGGAAGCCACAAATAAGTGGAGGGGGAGGGGTCGAGAAAGGCTTTGTGTGGAAAACAGTGCATGAACTATTTCTTATATCTCCTAATCCCTTTAAATAGAAGGAAGATTAAGCTGATGGGGAAGGTCAGCGAGTTAACAAGGAGGTTGTAGAATCATTTTCCCTGGAGACATTAAGAAATAGGATGGATGCTTTCCCATCAGAGTTGATTTTCATGGTCCTATTAAGATCATATTAAGGAATTCACTAGCATATCCTTAAGGTTCCTGTCATCCATATGGTTCTAAATGAATGCTAGGAGGCCATACCATATTCGTTTCTTGAAGTAGCAATATTTAGAGATGCAAAACTTGGGCTCTAACCCGTATTAATTTATATCTTCATTATGTACTTGTTTGTCTATTCACCTGTCTCCTATTATAGAAGGATAATTGGATGCTAGATAGGTAAACAAACCAGATCATTCTTACAAATAGCCATCAAAAATCTTAAAATAGATTTTTATTAACATCTTTTGTTTTTATATCACTCAGACTTCCCCTATTTGCCTCCCTCTCCTTTTGTCTTGTAACAAAGAATTTTTTAAAAGGAAGAAGAGAAAATTTCAGGAATACTTATCAACACATCAAAAAAATCTTGACACATGAAATTTTCCACACATCCTACCTCTTCAAAAAAGTGGGAGGAGGTATTTTCACACCTCTTTGGTCTCAAGCTTGTTCTTTGTAGTTTTGCAACATTTATTTTCAATTTTTTAAGCCGCTGAAAATTTACCAGCCCTCAGGAAGGGAAAAAACAAAACAAAACAAAAACTATTCAGTCTTCCTCCGAAATACGTTTACAGGCAGTAAGGTAAATATAAATGTTTTCTTTGTTGCCTTTCTGGCAGAAGGTATTTACCCTGGTGAGAGGCTGTTTATAATTTTAGAAGCTTTCAAACTTGCTTATAATTTTAATTTTCCTTTTTCTGTCTCCTGAGCAGATCACGAAAGAGCATCCCAGACACCTATGCAGAAAGCCTTATTGCCCATGGACTCATGACCCAGGATGAAGTGTCTGAAATAAAGACCTCTTATTACTCTAAGCTGAGTGACCATCTGGCTAATATGACACTTTACAGCCCACCTGCAACTAACCTGCAAGCCCACTGGAGGGGCCTAGTGGAACCTTCTGCCAGGATCACCACCTGGGACACTGGTGTACCCATTGATCTGCTGAGATTTGTTGGAGGAAAGTCTGTGGAAGTACCTGAGGAACTTCAGATGCATAGTCACCTTCTAAAGACCTATGTTCAGGTAGTTCCTGTCAGGGAGTATTCAGATACCTAGCCACTGTTTCATATACTTTGTTTAGCTCATGTAGTGAATTTGGACTATGCATTTTTGGCTAATTGTCTTAGTTCACGTTAAGTCCACATCTTGCCCACCCTTCTTCTCTGCTTTGATTCTGGGCTTGGCACTACAGAGAATGCATTAATTCTGGTTAGCCATTTAAATTAAAAAGAATCCATTTTCATTTGACTGAGCACACAAAAATAAAAAACAAAACCCATACACAAAAAGAGAAAAAATGCTTAGATGTACAAATTTATGTGTGAATTTGTAATTCCTGAATTTTCTCTGGGCTTGAGGAATTAGACTGAAGTATAAATTATAGAAGGCTATTATTAATAGGAATATTTAAGGTCAAATTGATGAAACTAAATGTGATCCATTTTATTTTTTTTCCATCCCTCCCCCCTTATATGCAGTCCAGGATAGAGAAAATAAAGGAAGGAACAAAGTTAGACTGGGCCACTGCAGAAGCTCTGGCCTTGGGCTCTTTACTTGCTCAAGGTAAGACGCGTCTTTGGTTTACTGCTCAACTCGTTGATACAAAGGGTATTTTCTTATTTGCAAAAATTAACCTCTTTGGTTTATCATTTTTTTCATTGACTGGAGGAATTCATTGAAATGTAAAAAACTAGAATTTACTTCCCTACTTGACAAGCTGACTCAAAGAGTGAAGCACAAAGACAAGATAACATTAGAGAGCCTTCATAGAGGAAAGCTATCAGAGCTGAAAACCTGGTGGCAAGACTTAATTTTTTAAAGTTCATTTGCATTTATTATTAGTTATCAAACATTTATTCTATCTTCCACCATCACCCCCCCAAAAAAAATAAAAACAAAACCCTTGTAACAAAAAAACATAGTTAAGTAAAACAAATTTCTATACTGGTTACATTCAAAAATAACATTTAACTTTTTTGAAAGGTTATTTTACAAAACATGTAGAATGTGTGATTAATACTTACACTCATACCACTGAATCATGTTTGTATGTTTCTATACATGTGATCATATCTCAGTTTTTTAATATGCCTACCCAATATGTTGCCCTAAAAAGGATTCTCAAATTCAATCTGTCTTTTAACGTGTTTATTACTCAGGATCATAATTCTTTATCACTAAGAATAGTGTTCGCGGACACCTGATCTTATTTTGTCTTTCCTTTCTTGCTCAAGGTTTTAATGTCCGTCTAAGTGGGCAAGATGTTGGTCGTGGAACCTTCAGCCAGAGGCATGCAATGATTGTTTGCCAGAAAACAGATGACACATATATCCCTCTGAACCACATGGATCCTGATCAGAAGGGTTTCCTAGAAGTATGATGTTTCAGCTGTCTGGTCTAAAGATAAGCTTGTAAATTGTAGATGGAGGAAAACAGGGTACTAGGAAGGAGGATGGTCTAAATTATATAATTTTTAATCCTGTAAATCAAAAGGACATGTTCTGATAGCTAAAAAAATTCTCTTTCATACAAAGAACTCAATTTGTACAATATGTCACCATCTTGTGTGGGATGTTTACAGCCATCTATAATTTTTTCGGTCCACCTTAACTACCTTAAAATCACTTCTAAAAGTCCAGTTCTTACCTCAAACCTTTTCTTTCCAATATGTAATGGAATAGTCCTGATTGCCCTTTCTATTTGTAAGCAACCAGTGTGAATTAAGTATCTGTTCCCTTGGATGAGTTGGTAATTACATATATCTTTGCGGAGATTAGCAAACATGACATGCAAAAAAAAGTGTACTATGCGTTTTGGAAGATTTAACAGAAATAAATGACATAGCCTCTTCCCTTAGGGACTTTACAGTTGATGAGACAACATATATACACTGTAGTACTAGTAATACCACCAGTACCATGGTCTTTGCTGTGTATCCCGGCTAGATTTTTTTCTCCTAAAAGGAAGCTATTCATGCGATTTCATTGGTTTGGGGTTTAAGGCTTGAGCCATAACATGGCTTCCCGATTGCCTAAGCATAAAAGAAGCCAACCCATAAGTTATTTAGTCCAATGCCTGGCATATAGTAGGTGCTTAATAAATGTTTATTGGATTGATTCGAGTTAGTGCCCCTCAAACTGGGTGGTACAGTTACCACCCTGCTGTACAATTACCACACCCTGCTGACCAAACCTGCTTCTGTAGTTAGATGAGGGGGATATGACTATCTAAACCAGTACTTGATCCTTCATGGGTATCCTTTCCATGCTTATGACTAAGTAAACTTTCTTTACTTAACTATTAGAGGATCTTTGAGAGGTATATTCTGTTCCAGTCTCAAATGTGAACAACCAGACCTTCCTAAATTAGGCCTGTCCATCAACATACATGAATATTGTTGTTCATATGTTATTAGATGCCTATGCTTATGCTAAGGATACAAATTCAAGTAAAACAATTTCTGTCCTCATGGAATTTACAATGCCAGAGGAGACAACATGTACTATATATAAGCATATACGAGGTGTTTTTTGAGGAGGGTACCAGCATCTAGAGATTATAAAAGGCTTCATGTCCCAAGTGACTCTCAGGCTGTGTCTTAAGAGGAACCAGAGGTCTAAGTGAAACATGGCGCAATACAAATTGAATTCACAATTGTTCAGGGAATGTAAGTCATGAGAGTGAGGTGGCATACAGGTGCATATTGAGCAGATTCTTTTAAGTCGTGATGGACCTGTGCCATAAAAACCCTTCTGCCCTCACTTAGAGCATTCTCCATGAACTTAAAAATTCTAGCTCTTCAATTTCCAAATACCAGTTTGATGTTGGAATTATAGATGTTTAATCAAGAGTAGTCTTTTGTTTTATGATTTCCCAGACTTTGTTACAGTTATAGTAGCCCAAGAGCTGCTGTACAGTGTTTGTCCTTGCACAAAGCAGATAATATCCCCAACAAAGCAGATAATATCCGCATTGCTTACCTCTTATCTTCTTTCCTTCCCACCTCCCTTGGCCTACTAGTTAATAGCAGCTTCCTAACTGAGAGTAGTCTGAAGGAGGATGCAAAGCCTTCCTTTTGAGCCTCTTCTCCTCAGATGGTTCCTGTCTTTTGTAATATTCTAGAAAGAAAATGTTTAACCCCTGCCGTGTGACCCTTTGTCTCTCACCTCTTCCTCTGTTTATTTTTACCGAGTTAGGTAAGCAATAGTCCTCTGTCAGAAGAGGCGGTACTGGGATTTGAATATGGAATGAGCATTGAAAGCCCCAAGTTACTGCCCATCTGGGAGGCTCAGTTTGGTGATTTCTTCAATGGAGCCCAGATTATATTTGACACATTCATCTCTGGAGGTTAGTAGTAGCACTGGCATTTTCTCAATACCTTCTGGATGTATGGCACTGTGCCAAGCACTAGCAAGAAATTTTCTTTAATCATTCTTTAAAATGGATATACATTTACTTTGTAAATACTATTTCCTGGAGCAGAAAATAGCACTATAAACTATTCATACTTCCACATGCCCTGTTGCCATTTTCCATAAATTAGGATTAAGGACTTTGTGCATCAGATGGTTGAGAGTTTATTTTTAATCCTTAATTGAAAGATATACTGTTGGTCCTTCTATATACTATTCCATATTTCTCGCATTTGCTTGTTACTTGGATGTGAATAAATCACTGTATCTCATAGTATTGCTTTCCTTGCTTTATACTATAACTAGCCCTTCATTATCCACTCTAGTGGAGAGATACATTAATGTGAATAACTGAAAACTGCACAAAATTGACCCCATGGGTTTGAGGTTATGGCCAGCCACCTAAGAAATCCTGCAGTGAAGAACTTTTAAGCATATTAACTCATGGAAAAATGAGAATTCTTCTTTGGGGGAACTAGAGCCTCAGTTTCTTCATCTGTAAAATGAAAGGGTTAGGCTATGTCACCTCTAAGGTTCCTCCCAGCTCTAAAGTCTATGATCCTATGAAATGCACGCCTGTGGAACAACAGACCAGATGCCCAGATGCATTAGTCCTGGTGGAGTGGAAGGGAAGACTGAGAATTGGGACTGTTCCTTGTGGTAAAGTTTCTCTACTCATTTGCTTCAGTGCCCCAAGTAAGTTCTTGCTAATCCTAATCTATTGTGAGGACTATCCTCAGTCTTCTGGCAGCATGGTGATTGGCAGTGCCACTGAGTTATCATATCATGGTCACTCCCCATGTTCCCCATGTAATCTCCCAGCTTGTGGGGGGCGTGGCTGCAAATGCAATGGGTAACAGTTTCTGAGGCACATGTATTTAAGTAATAATGTGGATAATTAGTCATTGATTATTTAGATCAATATATGTAGTAAGTATAATTATACAACATGCCTTCTAACATACATATATACATATATGTGTGTATTTATATATAAAAATTTTGCCCAAACTTGTAATTTCATTAGTGTAGAGAGCTCCCATTCAGAAATTTCCTCTACCAATATGGATAGGTACTTTCTATCTATAGGTACCCTGTGCCCAGGGTTACACAGTCAGCATGTGTCAGAGATAGGTTTTAACCCCAGGTTTTCCTCAGGTCAGCTCTTTCTCCTCTCTATCCTGCTACCTCTCATGTACTATATATACCATATAAATGTTGGGGTTATTTGACAAGAATCACCCAGAATTGGCAAGCATATACAACTTGTCATATATATCACTGGAAGGAATACCTAAATTGATTAAAAATCACAGATGCATGTGAATGTTGAGACAGGGCACATACCTGCCAGCAGTAATCAAGGTACATTACAGCTAATTCAAAGTGTCTAACCCTATTTCAGTCAGCTATATGGAATAGTAAATAGAGCTCTTGGCCTGGAGTCAGGAAGACCTGAGTTCAAGTCCAGGCTCACACAGTTATTATCTGGGTAACTCTGAAGAAATCACTTAACCTCTGTCTGCCTCAGTTTCCTTATCAGGAAAATGGGGATAATACTAGCACCTACCTCATGGGGTTGTTATGAAGGTCAAACAACTTAAAATATACACTCTATGGAAGTTAGTGTTTTAGCATTTGCAAACCTTAAAGTACTATATAAATGTCAGCTGTTGGCTATTACTAATATTTTAGATTCTTTCTACTTAAGAACAAAGAAGGTTGTTTTCACTTGGCATAAGAGCTATGTATGAACTTTCCAACTGGTGGAATAATTTCCCTTGTTCCAGAAACAAGCATGTTCACCTTTGGATTTTGTTTGTAGTTGACTAGGTTCAGTTCCCCATTCTCTTTCCTCCTTGGGATTGTTAGTTGGCACCTCTACCAATTAGACTATTTTTATTAAGCTGCCATAGTACTGAGTGAATTTAGGATCATTCAGTTAAACTAGACCACTACTTAAATTGCTATTTTAATCAACTAAAATAATATTGCTTGCTAGGGGTTGAGGGGTTCCATTATCCACATCCATGTGCACCTGTGTTCTGCCGAGTCCATTTCTCCTTTCCTATATCTTTCCCAGGTGAATCCAAGTGGCTTCTTCAGAGTGGCATTGTAATTCTCCTTCCACATGGTTATGATGGGGCTGGACCAGACCATTCTTCCTGTAGAATGGAGCGTTTCCTACAGGTAGGTTTGAATGTGGATACATGCCAAAAACAAAGAAAAATTACTAAGAGCTGCTTTTTCTCATAATAATTTTTGTTTCAATTTTGAAAGATCTTAGAATACTGACAGGTCCAGCAGACTGAAAATGAAACATGCTACCTACCTGCCAGAGAAATGCAGAGGGAGTCATTTTCAGGCATGACCAAGTGGGAATTTGTTTTACTTGAACTGTGCATGTTTATGATGAAGGTTATGTTTTTCTCTTTTTTTGTCATTGTTGTTTAGTTGGAGAGGGTCAGTGAGAGGAATTAGATTATAAATGCATGCAAAAATAAATATTTTAAAAATTAACATATCAACATAAATATAAATAAGCAGAATATATATTATATAAATGTTATATATATTTAAATATATCAGGATGTTAGCATAAGGAAGCTTTGAAGTAGGTAGAGCTACTTCCTGCAGATGGCATAAGACATCCAGTGCAGTGAGAATACTTTGCCAGGGGAGATTCTGAGATTCATTAGTTTAGTATTGTTGCAGCTTGAATGCCTTAGGTTAATACAATGTGCAATGCAAGATCTTCAGACCCTTTTTGGTTGACTAGTTTGAGGTGACCCAAATCATGTTTCCCTTGCTCAGACTATTTTTCAGCCAAGGAAAGGACAAAGAAAGTTGTCTTGGAAACCTAATGTAAAACTAGAATAAAGCAGCTGAAGACAAGAGACCACCACGTGATAGCTCATGTTTATGAAGCACTTGGAGGTTTACAAGACATTTTTCTTTAAATATATGAAAATATGATTAATATGGAAAGTCAGTTTGAACATCTCTGGCTTTTTCAAACACATAACTGTTTGTAATCGCATGATTTTTTTCTCCTCATATTTTTGTGCTGATTGCCATCCTTTTTTATTAAATTTTTAACTGTATTGAAGATACTCATCCTCATTTGGCTAAAGACTCACCCACAGTAAAAGAGGTGGTCTGTGGCAATCTAGAGCATCTCAATAGGCAAGGCAGCTTTTCCTCCCCAAATTGAGCACTTTGTTTTTATTCATTTATTCTATTTTTTTTTCAGTTAACATTTTTTTCTTTCTCACCTCCCCCTCTACCTTGGAGGGAAAAACAGAAAAACCAAACCCTTGTTAATGAAAAGTTATAGTCAAGCTAAACAAATTCTCACACATTGGCCATGTCCAAATATGTATCTCATTGTGTCTATCACCTCTCACAGGACGTAAGTAGCATTCATCACTGTTTTTTTGGAATAGGAGTTTGTCATTGCATTGATCAGAATTCTTAAGTCTTTCAAAGTTGTTCATTTTTATAATATCGTCATTGTAATACAGATTGTTCCCCTAGTTCTACTCATTTCATTCTGCATCAGTTCACATAAATCTTCTCAGGTGAAACCATCCTTTTTGTTATTTCTTATGGCACAACAGTGTCCCTTTGTACTCATATACTATAGTCTATATTCCAGTTGATGGGTACCCCTTTGTTTTTCAGTTCTTTGCCACCACAAAAAGAGGTGTTATAACTATTTTTGTACATATGAATTCTTCTTTTCTTTCTTTGATCCCTTTGGAGCATAGGCCTAGTGGTGCTACCACAGGGTCAAAGGGTATTGCACAGTTTAATAACTTTAGGGGCATAGTTCCAAAATGTTTCCAAAATGGCTATCCCAATTCATACTTCCACTAAAAGTCTGTTAATGTGCCTGTTTTTCTCTCGCACCCCACCATCATTTGTCGTTTTCCTTTTTTGTCAACTTTGCTGATCTGATAGGTATGAGGTAGAACTTCAGAGTTGCTTTAATAGTCATTTTTCTAATTGTTAGTGATTTAGAACATTTTTTCATATGGCTATTGATTGGTATCTTGGATTTCTTCCTTTGAGAATTGCCTGTTCCTGTCCTATGACAACTTATCAGTTGAGGATTGAGAGCCCTATGTTTTGAGTCAGAGGACTTATGTTCTAATATTGCTCTTGATACTATTTCTATGACATTGGACAAGTCACTGAAATTCCTCATCTCTGAAATGAAGATGTTGGACTTGATGGCTTCTCAAGTTCCTTTCATCTCCACATCTGTGATTCTATGATATGACCTTTTCCTTTCATTTATACTTGTCCCATCCAGAAAAGTGCTACTTAAAGAGAAAAGCCCTTAGTCAAAGAGTTACAGCATTCTGTATTTATGAAAGTGTCACCGTTTGTATGTTAGTGGAGTGGATAAGTAAGAAGTTAATTTTCAAAATGACCAATAACTTTGAAATGTTTGCTTTTAAGATTTTCCTTTCTTTCAAGTTTCATTTTTTGGCTATGAGCAATCAATTGGGCTGCCCAGCTTACTTTTATGGTGTCTTCTCACAAGACTGGAGATACACTAAAACGTCAATAAAATACTCTTTAACATTTTAGCCAAGCCTGCTCAGTGAGAATTGCCAGAGTTCACTGATAGCCAAACATTTCACTGTTGGCCTTGCAGTTGTAAGTCAGGGTAGTTGGGAGAAAGAGAAATGAAAGGAGGTGAGGAGAGACAACTGGGTAGAGAAAGAATGGTGAGTGCTCTCCCATTCTCATGTTATGACATCATAACTAATTTCAAATGGCCGTTTAACTATATGGAAAAAAATTTTCACTCTTTTTACCCTTACCCTCCTCCCTCCTCCTACAAAGCAGTGAGTGACTAAATGAGAGGAAACAATGAGAATGAGTACATGGGGGGGGGTGTCCGTTTTCCAAAGATAAAGTAGGTCTGCTTTGTATGGCCTGTTAACAAAGCCCTTGTGTCAGTTTATTTTTTTCACTTCTTAGTTATTAGATGACATAAAGATTGAAGAATATGATAGACTTTGGATTTCCTAAAAGTAGATTAAGGTCTGTGGTCTCGGATAACTTGAAGGACATGTACAATGGAGGACTTTGTTTGAAGAAGGTTAACTTAATACTTTTAAAATGATCCTTATGATTTAAGGTCTTGACTTCTTTCCTTTTTATTTACCACTTTATTTTTATTTACATGCTTTAAACTAGTGTTCTCTCCTTTAAGTGTCCCAAAGTAATTAGGAAAGCCCCAAGGCTATCTACATATCTGAATATAATTTGCATATACCTTTTATACACTGGACATATTATTCTTAGGCAGTTTTAAAGTTTAATTAGACTTATGTTATCATCTGTGTACTTTTTTCATTTTCTTTTTGTCCTTTTATAATTTATACTGTCTTAGACACAAAACAGGAAAGAGGAGATAGATGTGCAGATCTAGGAGAAATTAGGAAGGACCATAAAGAATCTTAATTAAGGCAGTGAATGCCTTACATTTGGGGGCTACATTTTGAAAAACAGTTCTTTAGATCATTATCAGCTTCTCTTTTCAGGCATCATTCCATATTATGGGAGGAAAAGAGAGATATCATTTCCCTTTTTTTTTTAATTGAATTGCTGTTGAAAAGGATGATGCAGCAGTTTTTCATTTTCCCATTTTTCTTTTTTTTCTTCACCTCTCAGATGTGTGACAGTGTGGAAGAAGGCGTGGATGGAGATAATGTCAACATGTTTGTGGTGCACCCGACTACCCCAGCCCAATATTTCCACTTGCTCCGAAGACAGATGATTCGAAACTTCAGGAAACCCCTCATTGTTGCTTCTCCAAAAATGCTACTCAGATTCCCTGTAAGTAGGGAAAAATCTAGCTAAACCCATCTCTGTTGTTTCTTTACAATTAATGGCACCTTCTGTTATTCTCTTTCTCAAAGCCAGTTCATTTTCTGAAGGATTTCTAAAGCTCTTCAGAATTGTCCAGCTGCTTTCATTTCTTTATGCAAGCATGGAAATACACTTAGTTTTCATTTATTCTTTGTAATGACAAAGAGGGAGATAAGATCAGTCTGGATAGTACTAATGTGGTTAGTACTGGTTAACCACTAGGAGTAGTTAACTAACTGCTTTAAGAAACTGCTGGCAGAATTCTAATTCATGCATATGGTAAGTGGGTGAATTGATCTATTGATTTTTAATATACTAGTAACAAACTTGGAGTATATTGAAGTAAGTAGGTGGTATTGTGAACCTCCTTCAGGTGAGTTTATATGTTTTAGACTGGAACCCAACTACACAGGTAGAATCTTGTTTTAGTAAGCAGAGATGTTATAACAAAGGACGCTTATTGCTATATGAATTCACATTCAAATACAAATTGATTGATAGCCCTTTTACCTCTCAGAGATAATAAGTGCATTCTGAACAGGATATTCTTGTTCAACAAAATTTTAAGTTAGTGGAAAATCAAGTGTAGCAGAAAATTTCAGACAATATCAGGGATAGTGTTTTTGTTTAAGGTAGCCAGCATATAAGACAGGCTGGACCTAGAGTCTGCTTTTCCATGATGGCCCTGTTTGCATTTTCTTCTCTTTCACTTATGAGCCTCCTGGTTCTCTGAAAGTGCCACACTTTTCCCCAGAACTTCCCATGGAATCAAAAGTAAGGGATGTTGCAATGGTGCTTATGAGAAGACATGGCAGGAGATGGGAAAGAAGTGGCAGCTATTTGTGTAGATACGATTTTTCTACTTTGGGGACTGAAGTTGATGCTTAGGTGCCACCATGAATAGAACATGCACTTGAATTATTTCATCAATACTGGTAAGGCATTTAAGTCCTTCCTACATTTTTTCACTCACAGCACCTGTGCCCAACCAAATGCTTTTTCAGATGATTGATTGAGATTAGAGGAATGGTATTTGACCAGAAAAGAGAGCAAAGCTAATTAGGTCATCTAGGGATCAAATTCCCTGCTTATGGAAATAGTGTGGAAAGGACATGTCAGTGATGCCTTGCACAAAACAAAGATGATTATCCTCAGACCTTCCCATAACTATTGGTGCAATCAGAAATCTACTGGAAGGTGAAGTTAATTTGTGAGTAATTGTGCTGCTATTTCCAACATAGGAAGGGCACCATTTAGTTAGCTTATTTATGGGAAAGGAAAGCTAATTAACATTGTGCTGATGGGCATAAGACTGGCTGTTATTATACCATTGTCTTTGGGCTAATCAGGATTATATGTTAAGGGAGAAATCGTTCATGGTAAGCCTTTAGAAAACAGAGAAGAGTCCAGATCCAGTGTTCTTCTGGACCAAGTGTTTTCTCTTGTGTGTGTTCTATGGGCTGTATCCTGAGGGATAGGTGGTGATGGAGCAGTTTGGTTGTTCTTGGTACCTTTCTTGGATGTGGGGTTCAACCCACTGAAAGGAGGAGTTTGTGGTAGTAGAGAGCGAGCCTAGGTTGCATATCTGACAAAGCTCGCCAAGACTTCATTAATAGTGCTATTTTGAAAGCCCCAGTTTGTAACATAGCCTTGTCTTCCTTAGTACAGACACTTTTGGCTATATTGTTATGATTGGGTCACAGACATTTTATTGTAGAAATATTCTTATATTTAGGAGTATCCCAGAGCTAGCTAGCATCAGCTCAGGAGCTAGCTGCTAGTGAGTATTTACACATTGGAAATCAGCAAATATTATAAGTCAGGGTTTGGCTTATTGCTTTGTTGATTGTCTAGATTTAAGAAAGTGATGGAAAAAATGTTAATAATGCAGATTAAACATAAAATTATGCCATGTTCACATTTTTCCCCTGGGAGCTAGATGGTAAACATTTCCCAGCACACCATTGCTTGTATTCTTTCCATGTTAGCTGGTTGAGGTTTCATTTGAATTTAAAGCTCAGAGATTTGAAAATTAGAATGAAAATTCAATTTGAATTCTCTTTATATCAAAAGCATCTTCAGTTTATTCTAACATAACCGGTACTGCTTTCTTTTTCCTCTTTAGGCAGCTGTTTCGAGTTTTCAAGAAATGGCACCAAGGACAACATTCAGACCTGTCATTGGTGATTCTTCTGTAGATCCTAAAAAGTAATTTGATTTCTATATTATCTGTAATAGTATTTTAATGAGCAAGAAAACAAGTGCAGGGTAAGGAATCAAGGTTTGGTAAGAGAGTTGTGTGTGTGTGTGTGTGTGTGTGTGTGTGTGTGCTTTAAATTTATTGTGAAAAAGAAGTCTGCTATCCTTAAAGAGTCTGTTAACAAAACAAATGAATAAAGTTTCTGCTTTTTCCTATGCTTTTTTACTGTTACCACCTAAAGGGACAAGCATTTTGGAGGAGTTAATTAAAATAGGATGTAAAGAGTGAAATTACAGTGGAACTCTTTTGTAACACCAGTGTTGTTACATAGGATTAACTCCTTTGTAATAAGCTAACAATTTGATGTTGGTCTTTTGTTTTATGCAATTGTTATGTTTTCCGGGCCAGGAGTAATAATTTGTGTTATACTAGGATTCTATTGTAATTTCACTTTTGTAGGATATGCAACAAATCCAAGAGCTTTTTCTAATTTAGGGGTGTTGGGGAAGGGGGAATATGCATTAAACTATTCACATAAATATGTGCTTAAGTAAATTTTTATCATAAACATGCAAGCGAAGAATGCTTATATAGTAAGTACTGGGGGTAAAAAAAAACAAGACAAAGCTCACATTCCAATAGCTAGTGCTTTTAATTACTAATATATAGTACTTTTAATAAGAACTCTTTGTACCATATGTACAAAGTATTTTATAAGTACTTTAATAAATTTTCTTTGCTAAAAGGATATGCACCTTTCATAGCTTGCACAGAAGTCACCACCTCACTCCCCTTCCCCACTTTCTTTTAGGAATAGAAATTGAAAGTCAGACTCAGCTGTGCCCATGAACTAAACTGTTTAGATCAAAGATTTTTAACTTCTTTTGTGTCATAGATTGCTTTGACCTCTGGTGAAGCCTATGGACCCCTTTTCAGAATAATGTATTTAAGCGTATAAAATAAAAAACAGAGTTATAAAGAAAACCAATTATATTGAAATAAATAGGTAATTTTTTCCTGCTAAGTACATGAACCCCTTGAAATCTGAACTCCCCAATTGAGAACGTCTTCTAGATAGAATCTGGTCATCTAGCTCTCATTATTACTTACTGGTGTTTGTAGGGTACTAGAAATCAGGCCAAAAAAGCCTTTCCCCCATGCACACCCTACACAGACACCACGACACCCATACAGGGGTCAGAGATTCAAGGCTAGCACCCTGGTGCCAGGGGCTCCTAGCTTCTGCACTTTCCCACACTTGTTCTGCTTTGAGGCACAGCAGGGAAGGAAACACACTTGAGACAAGTTCTGCCTCTCCCACTGTACTTAACATCTCCAGCCCCCAGTACAGTTTTCACTCCCCTTTGTCACAAAACCCAAAGCTCTTCTGCCTTCTTGGGAATCGTAATCTGTCCCTTTCCCGCTTCTCCCACAATGCAGGAGGTAGAGAAGTGAGGAACAGTGGAGGACTCGTACCTCCTTCTCCCACCTAGGCAGCATTCTAGTCTCCTGATAGAAAGGCCTTTTAAGATAGCAGGTAATCAGTGCCTAGAGGAGGGAAGTGTAAATAATGAAGACCCCAAAAATGTAACTGAGTATATGGTAATAAGTGAGCCCATTTGAATCTGATCTTACTGTTTTACTAACTAAATATTTCCGTCTTTTTTGGCTTCCTCTAAAAGGATATGATTTATGTATACTTTGATCTATAGTCAATCAGTTAAGAAGCAGTTATTCAGTACTTACTAATGTGCCAGGCACTGTGTTAAGTGCTGGGAATGCAAAGAAAGGCATCCCCAGGGACTCATTCTCCTGCAAGAGACAATCTGCAAACTATGTACAAACAAGATAGATTGGAAGTAATCCTAGAGGAAGCTCTTCTGTAGTAAATCTTAAATTGTTGGGAGAATTTCTTAATTAAAAACATAACAAAAATATACACAATGGCTACAATAATATTAATCAAATCAACATGGGGAAATGGTAACTGTTTACCCTAACAGTCAATATTAGCACCAAACTGTCAAAGACAAGGAACACAGCCCTTCTTTCTGTTAACAACGATAAACTGTTGTTGGTTTTTTTTGAGGGGGATATATTTTGTAGGAGGTTTTTCTTTGGTGTTTTGGGGAAGTGTCTGCTGTGTCAAAACAAATTGTGTCAACACATTTAACAAAAAAAAACCCAGTAAAATTTAGGCGAATTGCATGTATTTGTATCTAGAAATAGATTTTGACTCTTACACTCCTCTCTCCCCACCTTCCCTTTTCCTCTTTCTACCCAACAGTGTTAAGAGTGTAGTCTTCTGCTCAGGTAAACATTTCTATGCTTTGGTGAAGCAAAGAGAAACTTTAGGGAAGAAGAAAGATGACTCTGCTATCATCCGAATAGAAGAACTCTGCCCTTTCCCACTGGAAGCATTACAGCAAGAGTTGAGCAAATACAAAAATGCCAAAGGTAAAGGATCTTGGGAGCAAATTTGCTGGAAGAGCTGTCTGACTTCAAGTTACTTTCATTGCCCTATATGCCACTTCATTCCCTTTTATTGTTGTGTTAAAATGAAGATTAATCTTTCTAGGATATCTAAAAGTATTTCCTGGATGCCTAGATCCCAAAGATAATATAAAGTACTTTCCATTTGCCACTTAAATTATATTTGCCAGGGATATGATGATGATTTTAAGCATAGTACCTCACCCATCCAGAAAAATTAACTTTTTCAAAATAGTAACATTAGGTTACACAGATATGGCTACACTCGCCTATATTTGTGACATGGTGGCAGTAGAATTAAAACATAATAACACCTTGCCTCTAATACACACCCTGCAGTCGCTGTTTCAAATCTTCTATTTTTTCTCAAGCCTCCCACACCACCCTCTGCCCACTCCCCTTCATCAGAGAACTTTATCTCCTGCTTTACTGAAGAAAAGAGACTATTTGCCATGAATCCTCTCTTTTTACCTAGTCCCTCAAAACCCTATTACATTGTCCAGAATTCTCTCCTCCTTTGCTACATACTGTCTTTGATGATACTTCTCCTTGCTAAGGCCAGCCTCTCCACTTTTAATCCCCTCCTTTCTTGCCATTCCCAGGATTGTCCTTTTGATATTCCCCTTTTCATTTCACTTTCAATATTTTCATATTTCCTGGATCCTTCCATGGTGCCTACAAACATGCCCAGGTTGTCACCATTCATTTAAAAAAATGGCACACTACCCCCTGAAACTACTATCCCTTTTTTCTTTTTTGGTCTGGACCTGAGATGTCATTGTATGTGGAACTGCCAAGAAAGAACTCTTACAAGCACATATAAGCAACTCTTTTTTGCAACCTTTAGTTGTAGAGCATTGGGCCAGGCACTAAGAGGTTAAATGACTTGTCTAGACTAACATTGCCTGTCTGCTCCAGAGGCAGTACTTAAATCTAGATGTTCTTGACTCCAAGATTGACCCTCTAGCCACAATGCCATCCAAGTCCTGCACTCTGGATGACCTCTATGGCATTTTACACTATTGACTGCTTCTTCTTGGATATTTTCTTCCCTCAGCTTTCATGATACTGCTGTCACCTGGTTATTCCCTCACCTGTCTGAACCCTCCTGCTCATTTTCCTTTTTTGTGCTGTTCCTCTCTTACCATAGATGTCCCTTTTTGTGGGCCTTCTTCTTGATTCCTTCACTCTTTTGGTGATCATTAACTTCCATAGCTTCAATTGTAATATACTGAGATAATTTCCAAATTTGTATACCTGGCCTTAATTTTGTTTCTGAAATATAATCCTCATTGTCATCTTCACCTGGATTTCTCAAAGAACCTCAAGGTTCATTTTTCTGTCTAAACCTGCCCTCCTTCTAAATATCCTTATTTCTGTTAAGGGGACAATCATCTTTCCAGCTACCCAGGCTGGCAACCTTGAAGTCATCCTTATCATCTATCACAGTGCCTGACACATAGTAAGTGCTTAATAATTTTCTCTTGATTGATTCTTTAAGTGAGCCTTGACTCTTCTCCCTCACCTCCCATAATCATAAATTGGCTCCTCTCTACTCACATCACTATCTGCCTGCTTCAAGCCCTCCTCAGCCCTCCCAGGCCACACACACACACACACACACCCCTACTCCAGACTATGGAAATAGCCTTTCAGAATGTTTTCCACCCAGCCACCAGAACATCTTCCTAAGGCACATGTCAGTCCTCTAGAATCTTGAGCTGTTTCTTCTTGCTGCTAGAATAAAATTCGTTGGATTGACCTCTAAAGCTCTGCAGAATCTGGCACCCACTTAACTTTACAAACTTATTTCCCACTATGCCCCTGTGCACATGATATTCTCTGGTGCCACTGGCCTTTTTCTGTTTCTTGACTTGGCATTCTTCCTCCTGCTTCTTGACTTTTCACAGGCTATCCAACATATGTAAAATGTATTCCCTTCTCCTTCTGCCTTTTAAATCTTTAGCTTTCTTCAAAGTTCTCCTTAGGAGTTACCTCTTTCAGGAAGCTTTTCCTGACCCACTCAAGCCTTCTCTCTGCTCCCTGACTAATGTAGGTGTTCTTTCCCTTCTCAAATGATTTTGCATCTATTTACTGGTTTATATATTGTATCCTCCAGTAGAATGTAGCTCCTTGAAGGTAGATACTTGTGTGAAGGGGGGTGGTGTATACTTAGTGCCTGGCACATTCTCTTCAACATGGTTGGTGAATGAATTAAATTGAATTGAACACAGCCAAGAAAAAAAACTTTTTAAAGGGCCATGAACAACCCAAAGAGATGTCACAAAGCTCATGAACTTTACTTCTCTGAGAGACCCTTGATCCCTCACTCAAATGGTTTTTACTCTTTACACAATTCTAATTAGTTGAACTACCCAGTGTCTAGATCCACCCCAGATTACAAGAGGGAAAAGAGCTGCCTCAAGCAGGTGTCTTACAGGTGGGCAGTGAGTAAAGAGACAGAAAACAAAGTGCAAAAGCTTTGCTATAATGGAAAGAGCACTGACTTCGGTAACAGTTGAGCTATGTTCATTTACATCCTGTCCCTTTTACTGCCTGTGTCTGGGATCTTGCTGGGCCAGTATGTCACTGACCTTCTCTTAGTTCTTTTGTAAAATGAAGAGTATGAACTAGATGGCCTGTAAGCTGTAGATCCACACTGAAGAACCTGAGAGTACTTAAGAGAGGGACCAGTACTCCTTCATGATGCTGAGGGCATTATTGTTTTCAGTGAAAAGTTTGTAATGGTGACTGAGTCAACAAAAGATGACCAAATGATGTCCAGTCCACTCTCTCTAAGAAGGCATATACTTTAAGAGGTATAGAATACAATTTACAAAGATTTCCATTAAAAGTGATTAAAATAAATGTTGGTGATTAAATGAGTATTCAGCTACCCATGAAACTTGTTTGTCAAGAAAAGAGTTTGGAAAGTCCAATTAACTGAGATTTTTCTGGGGTGTTATTGCACTACGCATAAGGACCAAGGTTAACTTTTTAGTACAAGCTATACCATATCATTTTGGAAAGGGATGGGTGTTTGTGCACATGGTGAATTGATGGTAGGCTCTTTCCCCTGCAGATTTTATTTGGAGTCAAGAAGAGCCACAGAATATGGGTCCATGGTTTTTTATCTCCCCAAGATTTGAAAAACAGCTAGCATGCAAGGTAAGGCTTTTGACTTTTGTTTTATTTTGCTTTGCTTTTCTAGAGTATCTAAAAAGAAATTTAATCATTGCTTGCCATTTAAACTGTTTCTTAATGCGCATATTCACGAATTCCAAGAAGCAAATTGGCATTAATGATAGTTGACCTTGGAGCCAAAAAGACCTGGTTCCTACCCCTTTACTCCTACCTCTGACACATACTGGCTGTGTGTGGCCCTAGACAAAGAACCAATTGTTCAGTGCCGTGGGCAGCTCTCTAAAGTTGCAGAACAGGGGCCAGGCTGTGTTGGTATGGGGAGTCTCCTCCTTAGAAATTTCCTGTGCCAACAAAATCACAGGTCTGATCCTCCAAAAAAACACTCACACAAACTAAACATTCTTTCAGAATAGAGGACTATAGACTCATTTATCAAGCTATTTATGCACATATATCAGCAACATGTCACCAAAACCTTATCTCTCTGCAGCTTCTAATATTTGATTGCTGAGGATTTCTTGACCCAGAAATAGGGTTCCTGAGCAATATGGGAGGCAAGGTGATCTAGGTGACCTGAATGACAGAAGCTGTATTATAAACTGTGCTTAACTTCTGTAGTTTAACAGCAGAGGAATTGAGAAACCAAAAACATCTACTTCTCTAGGGCTGTCTTTAAGATTGGTACATGTCCAAGACCAAACTGCCCCTTGTGTGTGTGTGTGTGCGTCTGTGTGTGTGTATTCCATGAGGGAAATTAGAACTTTTAAAATTATAGTTTTAATTCTAATCTGCTACTAATTGTTAAAGGATTTCTAGCTTGGTTAGTGTAATTAACATGAGTTTTTAAGTCTGATGTGAAATTCAAGGACAACCAAATTTGCTCCAGACTCAAATTTTTATACACACATATACAAACAGTATATATATAAGGCCAGATTTGAACTCGGGTATTAATACACACATATATGTGTGTTTATATACATCTACATACACACACAGACATATGTGATGTACATACATACAGTAGGTAGGTGGTGCAGTGGAGAGATTGCTGGGCCTGGAGTCAGGAAGACCTGGGTTCAGATGTGACCCCAGGCGCTTACTAGCTGTGTGAACTTGGTCACGTCACTTATCTTCTATTTGTTTCAGTTTCCTTATCTATAAAATGAGGATTAATAATAGCAGCTAACTCCCAGGGCCAAGTAAGATAATAATTGTGAAGTGTTTATTTAGCACAGTGACTGGCACATAGTAAGTACCGTGTAAATGTTAGCTATTATTATTGTTGTTGTTACGATTATTATGTGAATGAAGGAATACAATTTAAAGATAAACAAGTGAGTACAAGTCGAATAAGATTATTGGCTCTGGAGTCAGAGGACCTGTGTTCAAATTCTGCCTCTGACCCTTATAACTTGGGTGGCTTTGGAGAAGTCACTGATCCTCCTTGGGTTTCAGTTTTCTCATCTGTAAAATGAAGAGGCTAGACTTAGGTGGCCTCTGAGGTCCCTTCTTGCTCTACATCTGTGCTAGCATTAATAGTGACGTTGATCTAAATTAAATCTAAACTAATCTAAAACATGATTTTTCCCTCCACTCTAATCACAGCTCCGTCTGGTGAGCCGACCTCCTTTACCAGCACCAGCTGTAGGAATTGGAACCATACACCTGCAGCAGCAGGAAGAGATCCTCACCAAGACCTTTGCTTGAGGCCTTTCTCTGAAGAAATGCTACTTCCTTTCAGAAACTGCCTTAAAAAGGCCTTTGCTCCTAATTCAAGCTCGAGCTCCCAGGTTGTCATTCTCTGAGAAGTGGGACCTTACAAGGGCAGATGATTGTCAACAGAGACAACAGGATGGAGAGGCTTGCATACACACTTTTTTTGAATACTTAATTTGTTTACAATGGCTATTCTGTTTTGGCCAGGGGTACACTGTTGAAGCAAGGTAGAGAATTGAGGCCTTTTTCCCGATTGTCCTCCAAACTACTTTTATCCTAGTTTTCTGAGTATGAATATGCAAAGGATCTGTGATTTCATCAGCATTCCAGTTTGGAAATTTTTTCCACCAACACAGATCATAACAGATTAAGTCTGTGACTTAACAGAGAAATACTGGGCAGTTACTTGAGATATGTAGGGTGTTCCCAAAGTCTAAGTGCAGTTTTAAGCTTCAATAGCTTAAACTATTAAGCTTTAATAACTTAAAACTGTTCCCAGACTTTTGGGACACCTTGTGTAGTATTTCATGTATTGATTAGGTGATCTGATCAGGACCGCAGCCAATAAGTTTTAGAGACAGCATTTGAACTCTAGTCTTCCTGATTGCAAAGTCAGTACTCTGTCCTCAACACCAAGCAGCCTCTACAGTTTTCTAGATTTTACAAACAAAATGTTTTTGTGTTTGAGTTACAGTTGTATATTATCTCAGTTCTCCATCTCACTTGTTATTGTAGGCCTAGCTAAGTTTCATTGCTTTTTGCCTTTCTTCCTTCCCACAATTCTTCTAAATATCAATAACTTTGGATTTCAGTACATGCTAGAATCTGGGATGTTTTCAGTTAAAGCTGTTTTTAAAAATGTTTCACCAAGTGCTTCAGAAAAGCTAGGTTGTTCCTAATTTATGTTCTTAAAGATTGGGGTGCCTTACTTGTCCAGCTGTAATTATCCTTTTTAATTAAAGAGTTTGTGATCTGTAAACTACAGTAATTTTGCTTTTCAGATAGGTGATGTTTGGGTGCTTGCATGAAAATGACCTGTAGCCTCTTATCAGAGCATCCTTTCTCTTTCAAATTACTTTTACAAATAGTAACTATAACCTTTGGAGAACTGCTAAGATTTCAGTGCTCTGGCTATTACCTTTAGGAGCCATTCATGAGAGAATGGTGACTATTTGGGGATGTATAAGGAGCACTATCTTCTTTGATAGGGGAAACTTCCTGATCCAAGATTCTCAGGTACTATTAGAGGTCAGTGTCCTCACTGAAAAATTCTGAAATATCTTGTACTACAGGCATAACTAAGTAGGTTCAGTTCAGACACACCCATTTCATAATAGGAAGTTTCCACTGCTTAGTACCTGTACTTTTATTGCTGTTATCCCCAGCAAGGGTACCCCAGAGGTACTAGAAAGGTGGCATGGACCTATCCCATAGGTACTTTTTTTTGCATATAATTGGTACAGGTTGTTTATGTGTATTAACTTTGCCTGCTTTGGCAACAGGTTTATCACTAATTGTTATTTGCAACATACAGTAAGTATGTGTATTGATTTAAAGTATTATATACAATAGTAGTACTGATTTTCTTTTTATTCATTTACTCCTTAATGTTCCTTCTTTGTGTAAAGATGTAACTGTGCCAGTCATAAAATTTCAAAGGTCAGTGTAAGGTGAGACTTGTTATTACTGAGTTCCAATTTTAACTGGAGAAAATTAAAGCTGTAAAACCATCTTATCTTTTCAAACCTCTGCAGTTTTTGAGCAAAAGGGAATGCTTATTTAAACTATAAACATGACCAGATTAAGCCACCTTCTTAATCAGCTTTCCCAACTTTTAATTTTACAAAATAATCAACTCCTCTTCATTTCACTCCTCTATAATTTCAACTATGAAACAGAAAAACTGAGTTTTTCTGTTGTCATCTTGACCTTGCTCACTTCCAAATATATTTGGGATGTCCATGCAAGAAAGAAATGTCCAAAGAGTTTCAAATAAAATGTTTCTTGTTAATTAAGCATTTATTCCATTTTCCTCCTAGATATGGGAAGACTTTTTAAATAATTCTAAAATGCTTAAAATATAATCTGTCTCACATATTCCCTATTGTATCCATGAATGTGTTAGAAAAAAATATATATATATATATATATTTGCCCAAAAAGTGTTAAAATTGGTTACAGCTAGCCTCTTGGGGTTTTGGGGAAAATATAAAGAACTGTTTAAATTGCAAAATTTAATAAGGTAAAGCTGTTTGCCAAAACCATTATGTTCAGTGAATGAAAAAAGGTGTGAGTACACAACTGTGAAAATTCTTAGGTTTGAGAAAAATTACATCTTTTACTTAAGATGTTGACGTTGTTTTCAATTACTTGTCACAACAAAGATACCTAAAAACCTCTCTTGAATACATTTTTAGCCTTATTACATTTTATTATTTTTTTCCAATTACATGTGAAAACAATTTTTAGCATTTGTTTTTTAAAATTTTGAGTTCTAAATTATCTCCCTCTACTCTTCCTTCCTTGAGAAAGGCAGGCAATTTGATATAGATTATACATGTGCAGTTATGCAAAACATATTTCATATTAGCCATGCCCTGAAGAAAACACAGACCAAAAAAAAACGCCAAGAAAAATAAAGTTTAAAAAAGCATGCTTTGATCTGCATTCAGACTCCATCAGTTCTTTCTCTGGAGATGGATAGCATCTGAACACTTTTGTAAGGACTTCTAAAGAATTTTTAAAATAATGTGCACAATCACTCTCTAATTATTCCTTAAGTTCTCTGTTTTCTGAGTGACATTTCACAGATCCAGTAATCTTAATGTGAGGAACCACCAATATGTATCATATCTTACCTGCTTTTCTATCTTCTGTTTGCTCCCCAATCTAGCCCTTAATTACCCGAGCTCCTTCTTTTTCAAGATACTTTGCATTTGATAGCAAATTAAGATTTTTTTTATCTATCTTCTGCTATTGACAATAACATTACTTTAGGTTTTTAGCCCATTTCTATAAATATTTTCAGTGATGTTCAGTATTTGTATCAATTGGAAATGTAAAGTTCTATAATTCCCTTTTCAGGGATGAAATACTTCATATAGTTTTCAGAGGCTTAGGCAAGTATGTGCTTTTAGCTAAGTGAACCAGAGATCTAGCTGGGGCTCTTCTCCATAGCTTTGTAAAGCTATTTCAAGTAATCAGCTAGTATTTTCATTCAACATTTACTCTCTTCCATGGGCTAGGCTTGGTGTTCCTAAATATAATGAGGGAATAAATGCTAGTGTGCCTATTATACTTGCTGGAAACATTCAGACCTAAGGGTGTTCAGTGGGGACTAACACCTCTGGTTTGAGGGCGGGGCTGAGCCCTTTTCAGGGCTGCTCATCTATTTCTGGTGTCCATCTATCATCCAATTCTCACCTGTGGCTTCAAGAAGCTGTAGCATTTGAATCATCCATGCCTTAGTAAAACTCTCAGCAGGCAGGCTAAACCAGGTTGAGGGTAAAACCCATCATTGAGTTAGGGGGATATCTACCCCAAACATGTGAAGATTTCCCCCATCGGAATGGGCAGATGAGAATAATTTGTTCCAATGGCCACGAAGGTGGCTGAAGTAGGCACTGTGGAGTACTTAGAGCTTGGTTAGACAGCAAAGATGCCAGCGTCATTCACTGCATCTGGGGCCATTGCCAGTCTTGCCACTGGACTTCAGTGACTCAGGAAGAGAGTGAGGCTGACAACTGAGCAACTCTGCCTCACTTAAATCCAACAAATCCACTTGCAAGTCAATATCAGCCATCATCCACTATTTTACCCCAACGTCATGTCATTGGTCCTTTTTGAAAATGAAGAATGAACAACATTTTTTTCGTTGTTCATAAATATTCCAGTTGAAATGAACATGACTTTATTGGTTTGCTGAAGACAAACCCTAAAATTTTGTAACGGTGATTTGTGATTCATAAAAAGAATTCAGTGTTTCAGAATCTGTCTGCTTTGAGCCTAGTTTCCTTTCCCAAGGTATTGAGAGTATAATTCAAGAAAAGAATATATATCTTTATCACCTTTGCACTTCTCTAGGTTGTTTTTTTCCAGTGTCTGATACCTCTCCTCTCTTTATCAAAGTAACGGGATTCACGTTGGGGTCACCAGCAAAGAATGAAGAGTATGCTCTTCACCACAGCCTGGAGCTATGGCCTTATTCCTTATCCAGTGTAGTGATAGTCTGGCAGTTATGCTGTTTGAGGAAAGGGCTCTTTTACTCCTGAAACGTGGTCTGATTAATTAAAAACACACACATACACACACACACACACACACACACTGCGCGCGCGTGCCTCTTGTGTACATAGCCCTGAAGAGTCAGGAAGACCTAGATAGAAATTCAGCCTCAGATAAATGACTAGACATTTGACCCTGGACAAATCACTTAATTTCTTTGACCTTCAGTTTCCTAATGAAGTTAATTGCACTATCTCACAGAGTTGTTAGGAGGATGAAATGAGATCATATATGCAAAGTACTTTGCAAACCTTAAGTCCCCATGTAAATGTAAGCTATTATTAGTAATAATAAAATTTTGATGTGACAAAGTCTCTCCCTGATGGACCTTATTATAATCAGTAGAGGAATGTGATATGCCATTATGGTACAAAATAATACATGATAAGTACAATAGCGTGCTGCCAGCAAAATGCTATTTGAAGTTCAAGGAGTGGTCTGGAAGCTTCCTGAAGGTAGTGGTAGTTAGGAAAGGTTTTAAGGGAAAAGTTAGAATTGAACATGAAGAGAAGGATCACATAGCTAGTAGTGGCTTATAGCCTTAAAGGGTAGCAAGGAGCAAAATCCTGTTAGGAAAAAATTGGGCCCCGGTCTGACCATGTCATCCTTCTATTAATAAACTCCAGTGGCTATATATTACTCTCAGGATCAAATATAAAATCCTTTGTTTGAGTTTCAAAGTCTTTTATAACTGACCCCTCTTCAACCTTTCCAGTCCACCCACCCCATCCCTTGTTCTCCAACACACAAACACATACTATTCAATCCAATGACACTAGCCTCTTTGCATGAGAAACTCCATCACCCTGCTGTAGGCATTTTCACTGGCTGTCCCCGGTACTTGGAATTCTCTCCCTCCTCTCTTGCTCCTGGTCAAGTGTCAGCTAAGATCCCACCTTCTGCAAGCCTTTCCCAGCCCCACTTAATTCTAGATCATCAATATTTCCCATCTATATTTTGGTTGTTGTCCATAGTTGTTATCTCCCCGCCCCCCCCATTAGATTATGGTCTCCTTGAGAACAGGGGCTATCTTTTGCCTTTTTTTGTATCTCCAGCTCTTACTTAGCGCAGTGCCTGGAGAAGACTAGGCGCCTCATACGTGCTTAATGCCTTATAGAGATGGTGGGTCAATAGGAGGACTATCACTCCCAAGCAAGGGGTTTGTAGGGAGACCCCACAAATGAGGACAGCTCAAGGAGACAACAAATAGGCAAAAATATCTGTGAAAGGAAGACTCTGCCAACACTCTGCCCTTTTTTTTAATCACGAAAAGCTCTATGGATTGCCCCCATCCCCTGGAACGGGTCTCTGCTCGATGGCAGCCCGGGGCAATGATGGGATGAGGGGAAGCACGAGGACCATCAATGAATGCAGCCAATTTTTTTTTTTTAGTTTCCGTAGGTTGATACAGAAGTCCCTTTGCAAGGCTAAATTCTGATTCCAAAACCCCGGGGCTTTTTCCTTCTTTTTTTGGCCTTTAGAAAACGAGAACTTTCTAGAGACTATCAAACCCTAGAAAAATCCAATGTCAAGTACTTAGCCTCTGACCCCTCCGTTGGCTCTGCTGGAGGTAGAGAGTAGAGGCGGGGAGTGGGGGTGGGGTTCAGGGCCCTCCTAGGTCAAGGAGTCCCACAGGTGCCTGACCAAAACGATGTCAGCAAGCAAGCCCGAGTCATCTACTACTCTTCTACGATGGAGGATGCGGCATTTTAAGAGCAAATGAAGAGCAGGGCGTGCGCTGCCCCCATTTGGCAGGGGAAAATAATCTGATTTGGAGAAAATAATCTGAAGTGGGGATTGTGGGGGGGCAAGATGAAAGTTGGTCTGAAAACTCTTGATTATCAACGGTGACCATGGCAATCACAGAGACGACAAGAGGAGTGGTAGATCTAGTGGCGGCGGCGCAGCGACCTCCGGAATCAATCCCAGCCTACCCCTTTAAAAATGGGCGGGTCCGGGGGCGGGGAAGGCAGGTTCCCTCACGTGACGAAGCTAGGCCTATCGGCTGCGGGGGGGAGCGGCGAGTGGGTGGAGCCGGCGCGGGTCTCGGCCGGTAGGAGCGAGTCAGGATCTGAGGCCGAAGCAGCGGGACCGGCGGAGGAGGAAGGCAGCGCCGGAAGGCCGCTTGTCTCCGCCGGGTGCTCCCAGCCGCCGCCATGGGCAGTGAGTACGGGCCCCCTGGCAGCGCCTCCCTGCAGCAGAGTCCGCGGCATGGAGGTTGCCCGGCCCGGCGTGGAGGGTCCTGCGTCTGAGGGGGCATTGCCGGCCGACCCCGGCCCCACGCCGGCCGCCGCGCTTTCCTGCGCTTGCTGTAGCGGCGGGCCGGGACAAACCGGGGAGGCGTGGCGGGCGGTGCCAGCGGCGCAGGATGCCTTTTCAGGGCCTCGGCCGTCCCCCCTCCCTCTTGGGGTTGGGGTGGTGGGTGGCCGGAGACGGGAAGGGGGCCCTGGTCCGGGCACTGCAGCCGAGCGGCCCAGGCTCGGAGGGGACTACATGGGAAGACGGAGGGGCTGCGGTGACCTCGGGCTGGAGGGCAGGATGGCAGCCACTGGCCGGGGGAGGGCCCCGTGGCACTGATAAGCGGAGGGGTCGTTATGGGCCGATTGTTCCGGGGGATGGGTTCAGGACCCCGGCTGGGGCCCAGGTACAAAGGAAAGGAAAACCGTAAGGGGCTTCCTAACTCTGTGACCATTTCTTGCAGCAGGTAGATCAGTCGGTACATTAGTGTGTGGAAAGCTCCCCAAGTCATTTACCGTGTCCTCAGGCGACTAAAATCAGATTGGGGGAAAGAGGCATAACGAAGTTATTTCTAA